AATGTAAATTTGAAAATTTGTTTGCTATTGTAAAATATTTTTCGAAGCCTGTGGTTATCTTTCACAAGTCTTTTTTTAAAATAGTCATTAATATAAAATAATCAAATTTCTATGAATAAATAAATTTTTATTTCCTGTTTAGGGAGCACTGCAAATGTCACTTAATAATTTTCAGTTATCTGCCTTAATAGTTTAACTGACTATAGATTTTTTCTATGCTACGTATGTGCCACTTCTGAGAATAGTAAATGACCCTTTTTTGCTATATTTTAAAAGCAGTTGTAGTAGTAACAACTTTGTGAATAAATACTTAACCCCCCCAAATTAATCTGGTAGAAAAGAAATTAATAAGCTAAATATCCATGTTAAGAAGTTAAAAAGAAACAGCAAAAATATAAAAGTAGGAAGAAGGAAATAATACAGATAAAGGTATAAATTAATGAAACAACCAAAATATAAGAAGAATTAACAAAATGAAAACTGAATCTTTGTAGAAGCTAATGAAATTGACAAGCCTCTGGTAAAACAAATCATGAAAACAAAAGAAAAAGCACAAATAACCATTATCAAGGTTGATGGAAAGGAATCACTATCTATGTTGCACAAGTTAAAAAAAAGTTAAATTTGAAAATTTAGATGAAATGGAAAAATTTCTGGAAAAATATGGCAAGATCTAAAAAAGTAGAAAACCCAAATAGTTCTATAACCATTAAAGTTGAATGAGTAGTGAAAAATCTTTCCTTAAAACAAAACCTGAAAACCCAAACACAAGGCTCAGATGGTGTTACAGATCATCTGATCAAACTTTCAAAGAAGACAATACGATCTTATACAAAGTCTCCCTGAGAATACCTCAACTCATTTCATGATGCCAAAGCCCCACATGGGCATCATGACAAAGAGAAGTCAGAAGTCAATCTCATTTCTGAACATAAATGCAGCCCTAAACAGAATGTTAGCAAACTGAATCCAGCAATACACTGAAAACATAATATAAATCATGATCCCATTGGATTTGTCTCATGAATGCAAGTTATGTGTCACATTAGAAAATGAGTTAATGAGCCAGCACACTACAGCAGATTAAAGGTTAAAGAAGAAAAACCACAGGATAATCCAACAAATGTGAAGAAAACATTTGATAAAAATCCATATCATTCGTGGTTACAATCCTTAGTCAACAAGGAATAGAGGAAACTTCTTTAATCTAATACAGAATATCCAAAATAAGCTTTTTACAAACATACTTATTGGGGAAATGCTGAAAGCCTTGCTCTATCTTTGAGATCAAGAACAAGGATGCCTCCCATTACTACACTTCTAGTCCACATCATACGAGAGGCCATAGTAAGGTAAGAAAAAGAATATTAAGGGCTAGAAAAAGAAGCAGCGAAATTGTCATTAATTTCAGATGATATGATTGTGTACTTAGCAAATCCAAGGGATGGTACAGATAAATTATTTAAACCAGTAAGAGAGTTTAGCAAAGTTGCTGGATGATACAAAGTCAATATTTAAAAATCAATTGTATTACTTATACCAGCAAACAGAACATGTAATAAAAAAAGATACCCTTTTCAATAGTATAAAAAAAAAATGAGGTACCTAGAAATAAGCTGGAAAAAAATTTCTTCACAGAGAAAACTGTAAAATCTTATGGTGACACATTACAGAAGACCTAAACAAATGAAACAGATTATATTACGGTCATAGGTTGGAAGGCTCAATTTT